ATGCCGTCCTTTGCATCCTGTGACTATTTTGTCACCGCCAACGTGCACTTCCTAACCCCAATCCCTCCCACTTCTCACCCAGCCCGAATCCCTTCCCCTCTGGCGACCATGAGTTTGTTCTCTGCATCTAGGAGTCTGTTTCTGTTTTTGTTATTGTTCCTCTTAGATTCCACATAGAGGTGAGATCCTGTGGTATTTGCCTTTCTCTGCCTGACTATGTCCCTCAGCATCAAGGCCTGCAGGCCCGCCCATGTTGCAGCAAACGCCAGGTTTCCCTCCTCTTGACGTGTGAGGAAGGCTCCGTCGGACGTCTGCGCCACGTCTTCTTTATCCCATGGTCTACGGCCCGGGCACCTGGGGTGCTCCCCTATCTTGGCCGTTGTGAATCACGCTGCGGTGAACAAAAGCTGGCGCCCACGGGTGTTGAGCGCTTTCCGTTCAAGCCTAGGCAGCCCCCCAACCCCCTTCACAATTATAAGCGCAAACCCGTTCGGAGACCCAGGTGCACAAACGGCGTGCGGGGGGTGCACGCTCACTGCAGCATTTGTGTACATCTTCGCCTTGGAGTCGTGGTGAACCGGGGCTGGCGCTTTGGCGAGGCGGCTCATGCCTCTTCTTTCGACGTGTCGGTGACCAGTGTCTCGGGTGTGGGGACCCCCAATCCCCTTTCCCCCACAAGCGCTGCTTTTCGTGTGGATTTCCGTGATTTCAAGAACGGGCTGGAATGCCACGCTTTCCTTGCTCTTACGTATTGTTTTCATTTCCCGCGTTGTCGTCAGGCCAGGGGGCTGGGAGACACATGTCACGTGGAGACGCTAAGCCTCATAGTGAGGGAAAGGAATTAGGAGCCTGAGGTTTCACTGTGTTGAGTATTTTTTTTCTTTTTTCCCATCTTTTTAAAAAATGGTTTTTCTTCAAGTGCTTCCAGGGTGCAGAGCTATGGGTTGGGGTTGTCTTTTACGAAAGGAATTCTATTTAGGAAGTAATTATTCTTCTCCTGGAATAATAATAATAATAATAATTTAAAATGGTCCCCTAGGCCGTTTCTTCAGCACTCATGATTTCATTTACTTCCAGTTACTATAAAGAGATGCTGATTCCTGTCACAGCCGGGTGACCTGATTTTGGGCCTGTGCGTCCCCAGATCTCCATGCCGTCCCCGGCGGAAAGGCCTTCGCTCTGCGCTTTTTCCAGCCACCCGCGTCACTGTCTGGGGACAAGACATAAACAAAGGAGGCCCAGAGGTCACCCTGGAAGTCATCCGGGGCGTCACCGTCACTCGGTAGTCCAATTCCAGCATGGTGACTTTCGTGCACCCGCACCGAACGCCCCCTGAGTTCTATCTTTTGATGAGTGATTGAGTGGCCTCGAGGAGTAAGACCTCTGAGGCCGATTTTTGACCAAAGCGCCGTAACCCCGGGGGGAAGACACATGATTCCTTACCGCCCACCTCCCACCCCGGGGCTGCTGAGGCCCCCTGTGCTTGCAAACGTGAAGACACCGTCGTCACAAAATGGAAACCGTGTACAACCAAGGCACGGGTTTCATTGCAAACGTTCTCATCGGGGTACTTAGTTACCCGCCCCCAAAAAAATAACTGTGTGCAAACATGCACTGGGGTATTTTATTGAAAACAATACATAAAACAAAAACACACCTGTTTTGGAGGAAGCGGTAGGCCTGCAAGTGAGGAAGGAAGGCGTCTTGCCCCAGTGTTCGGGGCACAGTGACGTCGCCCCTGTGGTGGTTCTGGGGGTTCCAGGCCCAATCAGCGGACACCCAAGGGCGCCCCCTTCCCTTAGGCATCGTGGGTGTTGTCAGCAGGAGGCTGTCACTGCAGTTGGACAGGCTGGGTGGGCACGATTGCTGCAAACAGGTCACAGACAGGGTGCCTCTGCGAAACCTACGAAGCGCTTGTAAACAGTGGCCTGGCCCCGTATTCACTCATTCCCGTCACCCCCGGGGGTGGTGTTGTGGGCCACTCCCTGACACTACACCATTTCCTTGGGGCTGCCGTGACACGTGGCCACACAGCGGGTGGCCTGCCTCACACAGCGGTCCCCTTACAGTTGTGAAGTCCCCACCCCAAGTGCAAAGGGACTCTTATGGGGACCAGGGCCACGTGCTGCCAGCCTGGGTGCCTTAGGGAATTTCTAAGATAGGGTCCTTCCTCGCCTCTTCCAGCTCACGGCCACTGCTGCTCTGACCTCTGCCTCCGGGAACCCTCACTGTCCTCTTCTGAGGACCCTTGGGGTGACATCAGGGCCACCCGGCTCCCCCAGGGCCATGTCCCCAACTCAGGACGCTTTATGTAATCACATCTGCAGAGTCCCTTGTGCCACGCCACGTCACAAATTAGGGCCTGACACCTTTGGGGACCACCGTTTAACCAACCACATCGTCTAAACCCCAATGTCTAATTTTCACACTAGAAAACGGACACCCGGAGAACGTTACCAGCACAGTTTGCGCATAGGTCCAGGTGGGACCTTCATTGAGCTAATGCTTCCGTGGTGACACTTTTGACAGAGTGGCAGGTTCCAGACAGTCATATGTTGGAAGACCGGAAAGGATTGAGGGGAACCCAACGGTCATGTGAAAGGGCAAAAAAAAAAACACAAAAAAACGAGGAGAAAAACCCAAATTGCATCTACAAAAGCAAAGGAGAGGTGCTCTGCCCTGACGACTAGGTCCCCACCCTGCAGGTGTCTGAACGTCAGAAGGCTGCTGTGCCAGAGAGGGGGGGGGCTGTCCTCGGAGGGGTGGCCAGCACCCTGACGGGCGGGAATGTCAGCGACACCTCTGTCTCCTGCCTTCTCGCAGCCAAGGGCCTGGCCTCATGTCCGCACGTGCACAGTCCCAGCACGGGCAAGACACGTTTCAGGATGCCCGTCCAACTCAAGGGCCTCCTCCTGGGGAGAGCTGGGAGGGGGTCCCACCTTCAGAGCCTCCGACGCTGTGCAGGGTCCATGTGAATTGTAGAGCTATCGAAATGCACTGGGAATCTGCTCAGATGACATTGCAAAATTACATAAGAGGCGCGCACGTGTTTGGCATTCTCAACCTTTCACGGGGGTCGCCTAAGACCTTCGGAAAACACCTATTTTCGATGGTCTTAGGAACCGAGACACCGCTCCTCTATCCGTCTCCAGGCCCACATGCAGAGACGCCCACATACGAGTACCCGGCGACCCCTGGGAAAGGGTCATCCGACCCCCAAAGGGGTCGCGCCCCACAGGTTGAGAACCGCTGGTCTAGACGGCCATCAGGGAGGCCCTGAACGCTCCCCCGCACGACCCAGAGCCTCTTCTCAGGGTTCAGACACCCCAGGCGGCCGGGGCTCGCAGCCCACTTGGTTCAGCCGTATGCAGCACAGAAATAGTCCACGAACGGAGAAAAGACTCGTCGTGCAAGCACGTTGCTCAAGCCTGCAGCTCCCCCCACCGTTTTGTTTTGTTGGTTTGTTTAAAGCTTAACGCCAAACATTATTTGGATTTCTCTAGTTCTTCTCTAGTCTGACTTTCCTGCCCTGGGACCCCCTTCCTGGGGTCATAATGTGTCGTCTGGTTCGTCTGGGCTGTGACAGTTTGTCAGATCGGATTGGGGTGATTGGTGTTGGAGGGCAAGACCCCAGACACGAAACGCCCTCACGGAGGCCACAGACCGTCCACAGGGCTCGTCGCCACAGGGGTCGGTCTTGGTCCCCTGGCTGAGGTGGTGTTGGTGAGACCTCTCCGTCATAAACGGCCTTTTCCCGTCTTCCCGTCCTCTGCGGAAGGAAGTCACGGGGGGGCAGCCCACACTTACGGGGTGGGACCTGAAATCCCAGCTTCCTGGGGACGCGGCTCACGTCTGCACCAATGACCTGGCATCGTTCTCTGTGGGAGACGTGTTTTTCCTTCCCTGATGTATTCAATCGTGCATTGTCCTAGCAGCGTGGGCGCGTGGGTGTTTGTCTCAAGTTTGGGATTGGCATCCAGGGGCGGTCGTCCTTGTGAAGTTGGCGGGCCGCGGGGGCCACTTCCAGCCTGGTGGCCCCGTGCCTCAGACAGACCTCCGCCGTCGGGTGTTTTAAGCCTCTCTTTCTTTCCGGGCGCTATCGGGTGTTCCCTGCACATCGTGGCTCTCCCTGACTGTAGCCCCGGAACCAGCCACTCGTCCGGGGAGCCCCGGCTCCTTTGATGTGTCCGAGATCTGGGTGCTGGGAGATGGGACATATCAGCAGCATGGGGGACAGGTAGCGTCCGTCCGCTCCCCATTGATTTGTGTCCACCTCACGCATTTTCTTTTCTTTCTTTCTCTTTATACCCGTTCAGGACCCCTGCAGGGACAGAGAGCTGCGATGGCTGCAGAACCGTGTTCCCCTGCCCTGCAGATCCGAGCCAAGAAGTGGTGAGAACATCCCCGTCGGTGACCCGCCGCCGGCCGGCAGCCCCATGTGGACGCTCGGGTGCCTGGACGTCCCCGGTCAGCCACCGTCCGGAGACCGCCTGCCGGCCAGCATGCCGTCCCCGCCGCCCCCGGGGCTGAGCGGTGGGGGTGGGCACCACGGAGGAACAAGGCCATCGCCCGCCACGCATCTTGTGAAGCCATCGCCAGGCGGCCCGGACTCCTGGGCAGCGTCACCTCGGGGGCCATGCTGACATCTGTAACCTCCATCCACCCTTGTGGTCCCATCCAGCCATCCCTGCCCTCCCGCCTGGCCCAGTCCGTTGTGACGTTTCCATGAGCTTTCCTTCGTGCACGGTCGTCATTCACAGGGGTTCGGACGCCCAGCGGCAGGGGTGCAGGTACCTGCGTGGCCAGAGCAGCCCAGAGGACAACCAGCTTCCGACCACGCCATCGTCGACCTAGGTGCACGCGGGGCCTGACCACGTCATCTCAGACGCAGCCCCGATGCCCCGATGCCCCGAAACACACACAAGCCATGCCCAGCGCTTCACGGCCTCCTCCTGGGTCCCGGGAACGGACACCACGGGGCACCTGTTCATTCCCGTGGCCACCTCACCCCGGACGCGTGGGCCAGTGCGTTGCACGAAGATCCCGTGTTCTGGAAGAGATGAACACCCCTACGACACACAGACGGGAGACTTGTCCGTGGACGGGGAGCGTCCCGGAAAGTTCTGCAACCCCACCGAGCAGTAGTGACGTGGGAACTGCAAACGAGGCATCAGGCACGCTGCACATCAGGCCCTGCGTGACTGCGTTGCCTCGTCCAGCGGCCACGCAGGACTTTTGAGCTGTTTGTGGTTTTCCTCTGCGTCGTTGAAAAGCTGAGGGGGGTGAGAGGGAAATTCAGGGAGGCCCCGCGCGGTGGGGCGTGTCGGCATCAATGACCAAGCTTGGTGGTTTGCACCCCGGCCACGTCCGCCCCCGTCCTGCCCGTATGCACCCTGGTGACCATTTTATACACTGCCCCGAACGTGGCCATCATTCAGTTTCACAGGTGTGACGTGTGGCGCCTCCCTGTCGTCCTGTCATTGCTTCAGACATTCCTGTCAAAGAGCGCAGACATCATGGCTATTCCAGAAAATAAAATATTTTTGAAACCGCTCGGCACCGGGTGCAGCTCTTTGTCTCACGGCGGGGACACGGCCCCGACGCGGACGTGGCGAGCTCCGTGGCCCGTGAAAGTCACGGGGAGTTCGGTGACCCGCACGCGGGCGAGGCGCAGGGGTGTTTGTCCCAGCAGGCGGGCGCTGTGCAGAATGACACGCCGGTCTCAGGGGTCCGCGGGCACGTGCCCCACGGCCGCTGTCCCACGAGGCGGGTGCACCGACCGTGACACGCAGCCGAGTCTGGTGGGCTAGCCCAGAGCGGGGTGCAGGGAGTAAGGGGCAGAGCTGGGTGGCGTGCTTAATAAGCGCACTTCTCGCCGGGTAAAAAAACAAAGTGAGTCTTGTGCATAGAAGGCAGTCCTTTTCATCGTCACCCGAAGGCGAAAAATAGGGGACACGCTGGGCTGAGGGATGCTCTCGGATGTGTCAAGGATTGGCTGTGTCAAGGGGCTGGGTAGCGGGCGTGTTCCTCTGGGAAAGGGGCTTTGGAATCTTGGGGTGCCGGGTGGCCCGTCTAAAGGACCGGGGGCACACAGAGAAGGAGGGGCTGTGTTGGTGGTGACACAGGTCAGGGATGGAGGGCCCGAGCACCGCTGGGAAAAGGACCCCCGAGGCAGCCAGCCCCTCCCCTGTTATGGCGGCGCCTTGTGTGGAGACGCCTGGGTGGCCCGAGTCCTGAGCGTGTACCCTACGTATCCTTACTGTTATGCCCCCCAGACGCCCCTACTTCCCGTGGGTCCGGGAGAAGATGGGCACCCCCTCCGTGGAAGGGTCAGGACGTGTCCAGCCGAGAACCCCGGCTCAGAGCAGAGACTCAGTCATGCCGCCGTGTGGCTGGTGAAGCTAAGCCATTTGGCCCAGCTTAGCACAACGGAGGCGCTGGCGTGATTTCAACTACTGGGGTCCCACGCGGGGGTGGGGTGGGGGGGCCCAGGCTTTGGCCCCCGCGGCACTGGCGCTTGCTTTGGGGATTGTTGTGTTCTCAGTCTGAGCAGAGACAGCCCATTGTTCTTGCTGCATTTTAAACAGGGTCATTCATCACCTCTGTTTCGGCAGGCACGTCCACGTTTCTTGGATGCGTCTCACCCCAGAAACCTGTGGACCTCCGTTTCTCATATTGAGAGAGATGGAAATGTAAAACCGGGGTCATTTTGCCTAAAACGATATGCTAGTTGGCAGAGTTTTCCTTTGGAAAAAGACTAGCTTTGCTTTTGAGACACTCGAGTCATGTCCTCAAGTACGTTGCAGGGAACACTTGTAATGATCACCCTCTCAACTGTAGAATCATGGAGTGAGTTCCCGGATGCCAGCGGGGCTCGATTGTCTCCCCAAATCCTCAGGACAGTCCTGTGAGGTAGCCACCACCGTGGGTATCTCTGCTTTAAAGATGTGACGACGGAGGAGTGCAGACGCTGAGTAGCACACGCAGGAGGACCCAGTTGCTACCTGGGACTACAGGATACCTGTTCATAATCGCTGCCTGGGGCCACCCGTTCTGTCCCTCTGGGACCAGCAAACGGCCTGAAGGATGGAAAGGGGTTCGTAGTAAGAAGTTGAGGATCTTCCATCCATCCATCCATCCATCCATCCATCCATCCATCCATCTATTCATCCATCCATCCACCATCCATCAATCCACCATCCACCATCCATCCATCCATTCATCCATCATCCATCCATTCATCCATCCATCCATCCATCCATCATCCATCTATCCATCATCCATCCATCCATCATCCATCCATCCATCCATCCATCATCCATCCATCCATC